GCTCCTGCCCGTATCTTCATCAAAAAGGATACTAAACTGACGGGGAACTACACCGTTTCGCCTCGCTGCTCGCACCACTTTCTCCACACAATTACTGCAATGAATAACCATTTTGTCTCATTCGCTAATTTCAGGGTACTCTGTAGAAAATTAGCTCTGTTGTAGAGCATGATTGAGGCAGGGGACTAGAACCAAACAGGGAAATCGAGCAGTGGAAAAAGCCACCGAAGCCATATTATGATGAAATTATGTGCAGATTACATATTGTGTAGATCTGCTGTATCAACACCTGACACATGGCTTGAAGGCTGGAGGGCTGGAGGAGCTGGAAAGGCTTGAGGATTTTGATCAGTTACTTTTTTCTCGCTGTCGCAAAATTAAAGAAATAAATAAGCTTGAAAAAGAAGGCAGATAAAAATGCTACATACACATGTTAGAGTATCAGATACGTCTAAACAGGGGTTTTGATTAAGGTTGTACTACCACTGGTGTAAACACACCGTTGCTGACATCTTTCCTCTTACACGCCGCACATGAAGAAAGAGCGAAAAAGTAAATATAACAAAGCAGTAGAATTGTGATCTTACATAAATTCTCTATTTTGTAATCCGAAATCTTGATAGCTCAGATCTTCGCAATGTTTACCTCAATCACCTAGGTATAGAGCTGACACTTCATGTCTAAGATTTATACGCATCATATTGATGAATAGAACGATTTCCGATGGGATCTAGGTGTCATTTGTGAGACTGGATCTTGGCGATGAGGAGGGGAAGAGGAAAGGAGTGAAAAGAACAACACTTTGTAGGCCATGTACGATGGTGATTGAGTTCTCTCCATACTTACAGAGTGATGAATGACAAAGGAAGATTGAAGTGTTCATCAGTGGTTTCGGTGAATTGCCATTAATCAGTTGAATAGTAGGTGAATGTCACGAATCACTATGAAATGAACCGTCTTTGACACGTGCGCTCAAGCACGTGAGCGAATCACATGTCGGGTAAGTTTTGCAGGCAGTTATTATAGGTACAAGAGCCGAGTTCCTCCAAATCTATAACCTAGGCTAATTATTGCACACCGCAGTCTGTAGATTCTAATAATCTAATAAGGGTCAACGGAACGGGTATGTCAGCTCTTCCTTATTATATGGGGTTTGCGTCATAGTGAGGGGTGATATCTTATAGAAAGTTATCCACTGTATACTACGAGCACGACACAACGATGTAGATTGATTGACCACTCTAGACATTGGTAGAAATTTCTAGATTCTAGATGGCACTGCTTGTCTTCATAGCTGGAGCCCCTTGAAACTGACTAATGAAAGATAATTAATGGGTGTCTCATACACCTGGGCAAGAGAAAATGTAAGCTGAATTTAATCGATTTAGCCTCGATCTAATCTACTGATCATGAGTAGTGTCATGGTAAATGTTATGCACTGATATAAGGCCAGTGATACCTACTGCTAACCAAACATTATCCAAAACCCTTTTCATTGATGACACGTAGTCATATAAATAAACGTATTATGCTTCTGAGAATCTAATTTTGTATGTTGGTAGTATCATGTCAGGTAATGTGAAATAAGTGCGTAAAGTGTCCTTAACTACACATTTGAAGTATCACCCATCAACTACCGATGTAAACTGTCCTCGCCTCTATATAGGGATGTATGTACTAGATTATATACATACTTATATGTGTCCTCTTTCTTTTCTCACCACCTAACAACCTAGGTGGCTAAAATGATTTTGACGATTAGTAGTAGACAGATCTCCACTGAGTCAATGCCTTGCCACAGCTGATACACCTCCGAATCCATATTCATCTATTTCATTCACTCAATTGAGTTGCATGATGAATAACAAATGATTCTTACCTGCGGAGTTTATTTAAAGTTGTTCTTTAGAAGCTGCAAGTGTGTCCTTTTCTACAAGCTTCTTCCATTATCTGCGATAAGTGACTCGGACTAACTATTTTCCGTGCCTATCACCTAAGCGAACCAATCATCGATTTCAAAAGTTCATTTGGGACAGATTTCCATTTCATCAAGAAAGCTTTAATAAAGTCGACTTCTTCCCACCTGTTGACCACTTTCTTTTTACTTTCTACATTCAAGAATAGATTTCTTTTTCACAACACACAATCTTTCCCAAAAACCATCTTGGTAAACATATCATCATGGCCAGTGGAAACAGATCTTCCCTCTTTGTAGGGTTGTCTGCACTTTTCTACCTTGTACTCTTATTCTCTCCCCTCGCTCTCTTCCAAACAGCACACGCACAGTCCGATCAGGACCCTCTGCAAGAATCTTATGGCACAGGTAAGCTTTTGCAATACTTTGCCCCCAAAAGGAAAATTCCTTACTGACAATTTTGCCATTTAGTTATTGGTATCGATCTCGGAACTACTTACTCTTGCGTCGGTGTGATGCAAAAGGGAAAAGTTGAGATTTTAGTAAACGATCAAGGACACAGAATTACACCCTCATACGTCGCCTTTACCGATGAAGAAAGATTAGTCGGAGATGCAGCCAAGAACCAGGCAGCTGCCAACCCAAAGAACACTGTTTTCGATGTCAAGTAAGTTCTCAATTGCATCTGATTCACTAGTTTTCAAAACTGACAGGTGTCCTTTTCAGACGTATGATCGGTCGCAAGTTTAACGACAAGGACGTTCAAGGTGACATGAAGCACTTCCCATTCGATGTTGTCCAAAAGGATGGCAAACCCTCCGTACAAGTTGAATACCAAGGAGCAAAGAAGACCTTCACTCCTGAGGAGGTTTCCGCCATGATTCTCGGAAAGATGAAGGAAGTCGCCGAATCTTATCTTGGAAAGACTGTTACCCACGCAGTTGTTACTGTTCCAGCTTACTTCAACGACAACCAAAGACAAGCTACCAAGGATGCTGGTATTATTGCCGGCTTGAACGTTCTCCGTATTGTCAATGAACCTACCGCCGCAGCTATTGCTTACGGTTTGGACAAGACTGGAGGTGAACGTCAAATCATCGTGTACGATCTTGGTGGAGGAACTTTCGATGTTTCCCTTCTCTCCATTGATCACGGTGTCTTCGAGGTTCTTTCTACTGCCGGTGACACTCACTTGGGAGGAGAAGATTTCGATCAAAGAGTCATCAACTACTTCGCCAAGAAGTACAACAAGGAGAACAGTGTCGATATCACCAAGGACCTCAAGACCATGGGTAAACTTAAGCGTGAGGCTGAGAAGGCTAAGCGTACTTTGTCTTCCCAAAAGACCACCCGTATCGAAATTGAAGCTTTCCACAATGGCAACGACTTCTCTGAGACTCTCACCAGAGCTAAGTTCGAGGAGCTTAACATGGATCTTTTCAAGAAGACCCTCAAGCCTGTTGAACAAGTCCTCAAGGACGCCAAGGTCAAGAAAGGTGAAGTTGATGACATCGTTTTGGTCGGAGGTTCTACCCGTATTCCAAAGGTTCAAGAACTCATTGAGGAGTACTTCGGAGGTAAGAAGGCCAGCAAGGGTATTAACCCTGATGAGGCTGTCGCTTTCGGTGCCGCTGTTCAAGGTGGTGTCTTGTCCGGAGAGGAAGGTACTGAGGAGATTGTTCTCATGGACGTCAACCCATTGACCCTTGGTATCGAGACCACTGGAGGTGTCATGACCAAGTTGATACCAAGAAACACTGTCATCCCAACCCGTAAATCTCAAATTTTCTCTACCGCCGCCGACAACCAACCAGTTGTTTTGATTCAAGTCTATGAGGGAGAACGTACCATGACCAAGGAGTAAGTTTTAGCTCATTTACACGTTTCAGAAATACATGGTTCTAACGAAATTTTTAGTAACAACAACCTCGGTAAATTCGAGTTGACTGGTATCCCACCAGCCCCACGTGGTGTCCCACAAATTGAGGTTTCCTTTGAGCTTGACGCCAACGGAATCTTGAAGGTTACCGCTGGTGACAAGGGTACTGGAAAGTCCGAGTCTATCACCATCACCAACGACAAGGGACGTCTTACTCAGGAAGAAATTGACCGTATGGTTCAAGAAGCTGAGAAGTACGCCGATGAGGACAAAGCTACCAAGGAGCGCATTGAGGCCCGTAACGGTCTTGAGAACTACGCTTTCAGCTTGAAGAACCAAGTCAACGATGAGCAGGGTCTTGGTGGCAAGATCGACGAGGATGACAAGGAGACCGTAAGTTATTCATCATGCCACTTATAATTTATTTCATACTAATGATACCTTTAGATTTTGGATGCCGTCAAGGAAGCCACTGAATGGCTCGAGGAGAACGCTGCCACCGCAGTCGCCGAGGACTTCGAAGAACAAAAGGAGAAACTCTCCAACGTCGCCTACCCAATCACCAGCAAATTGTACAGTGGAGCTGGTGGACCAGGTGGTGATGATGAGCCAGAGGGCCACGATGAGTTGTAGTTAAAGTCTAGATACGGAATTGATATACTGCACTTTATGATGATTTTTTTTTTTTTTGATTGGTTCGGCTGGATGGACCTGAGTTAAAGGAAAAGGTACATGTAGGCCAAGCAAAAGAAAGCTTTAAAGCTATGCATTGTAATCCATTGGGGGCGTCATTCATACAAAAAGAATTGAGTACTTGAGATATTTTGATATTTTGACTTCATGTGAGTATGTGAATGTGTGTGTGCTCTCACGTGTTCTGCTTTTCTTTTACCATAATGTTGACCTGACTTCGATCTTGATCTTGATATTGTAATCCGATACTGTATCGTGTCACTTGGTAGTTGACTTGGAGTAAAGTTGGAGTATGCCAAACCTTTAGTCGTGAGATGGAGGGAGATGGAGGGAGAGAAAGAGAGTGTGTGGATCTAGAGATATATTATCGAATATACATTATTTATCTAAAGTCAGGAAGCAGATCACACACATTCTCTCATTGCGCACTCACTTATATCAAATACCCTCTCCATAAGGTCCGTCTATCTTTGTCTACCTACCTAAGATGAACAAGATCTACAAGAGGGTATCCTAAAGACCATCATCTCCAGATGGGATTTCTCCACGGCTGACCGTCGGCATTCCAGTTTCCTTTTCTATTTCCCGAGCAAACCCAAAACCAGAACCAGCCAGCCCACTACCCTCAATTCCCGCGTCAGTCTCCAGTCTGTAAGCCAACCCCGCTTCCCCCTCCACCAGCCCCTCATTCTCCGGCAACAACTCAGTCCTAAATTTAACGTTTGCCAACTCCGCTAATTCTAATACACCTCCGTGTAAGTGGTCCCCCGTCCCTTCTCTCTTCCTTTCAGCCACCTTTTCCGCAACTTTTAGTACCGCCGACGCTTGCCAAAATCCCTCTTTTTTCTTCACCATTTTCAGAAGCTCGATCGCCTGTTCATATAAATTTTGATTCGGAGCCGACATAGCTATGAAGTATAATGAAGCGATAACTCCTCCATCTGCTGTTAGGAAGTTGTCATTATACATCGATGTTGCATGCATGATCACAGAGCGAGAAATATCGATGATAGCCTGAAAACGTTGGGTTTCGGATGCAGGTAATAGATCTGTTTCTACTCTTGAATTTGCGCGGAGATCGACGAGGAGAGAGAGGGATTGGTAATGGAGTTGGAGGAGAAGACTTCGATGGATCTCAGAAGCGCTCCACTTATGAGCGTCCGCGTGGCATAGACCATCGAAAGCACGTTTCCAATTTAACATTCCGATATTAAAGGAGTGGAGAAGTTTAGTTCGATGTGGAAACATGGCCTCGAAAGTAGCAGGCCGCTCGTGCCGAGATGTCTTTGGAGAAACGGCTGTGAGAACGTAAAAAATGCGGAGTTCGTAGAATTGCTGTGCAATGCTTGCGGCGTGGAGACTGGGGAATCGATCTCCGCATTCGGGCTCTTTGGTATTGCTATCGGGAACTAAGAGTGGCCTGCGAGAATCCCAGAATGAAGTCGCTTGAACGTCAAATCGAGTAATTATTTCTAAAATCTTTTCTTGGGCTTGTTTTACTGCGGGTCGAATATCTTGTAGTGCCCATACATTGTATACCCGCAATCCGTTCTCTAGATGTTCCAGTGCCCTTTCATGATTACCTTGTGCATTTTCCAAACAAACAAATATTATGCAACAAGCTAATGTTACTTGTATTTTGTTATCAGATTCAAGAGAACGAATATACCGAATCGATTTATTATATTGCTGAAGATACACTCGCTCGGTGGCAGCAGAAGGTCTAGATATATGTTCATGCATCGCCGAAATAGCAATCACGGCATGAAGAACCGCAGGATAAGCTTCACTGAGTTGTAATATCATTCGACGCCAAAATTCAGAATCTTGATTAACACCCATCAATTCATACATTGTTCTATGACGAAATTGATCAAAGTATCGATGTTCTTTGCTACTGCGAGTAGAACCGGGTCCTGGGATAATGGTGACGCGATTCTGCGCGTGGTTTTGTGAGAGCACAATAGCTTCATCTTGAGGATTGTGATACTCGCAGATTCGACCGGTACTGCTGCATTTTACGCATTTTGGTTTACCTTCATCACATTTTATGTGTCGGATTCTTGAGTTTTGAGTTAGCTAACTTCCCCTTGAAATTGTGCTTGGAGGATTGTGACTGTCAAAACAGAAAGTGGGGGAAATAGAGATCAGAGGTACACATAGTGCAATTAGTAGTCGCCATGATGCGGTTCTTGAGGCCGCTCAGTAACACGGACCAATGTTGCTCATCATGATAATCGAAGTAAGAAATGAAAAGTATGGTGTTGAGGAAGACGGTGAATGTAAGATACATACTTGCAAGTGAGGCATGCACCTCTAGATTTTTTGAATTTAGACCGAGACCTCTTTTCTTTTTGAGGAGGTTCAGACGATATTTGATCAGCCATAATGCATTTTATTATCCAAGGAAGATGCACCAAAATTGGGCACCGTCGAATATGTTGCGTTGGATGCAACAAAAGGGAGAGGGAGAGAAGATTAGTATTTTGAAGGATTGAACGATAATTGCGCCGCCTAAAGCTAGGTTAAGGAGAATTATAGCTAGTTTAGCCACCTTGGCCAATCATATCATCAAGATTTAACATCCATGCTGCTTGCCAAGTTTATCCATGTCGGTTGCTGATAATCAGATATGCAACAAGACATTTCTATGCTCCTTTCACGTGAACTCTCTTTTTTAACGATCGTGATTGGCTGAATTGAAAGCTCGTGATATAGCGCACTCGCTCCATTCAACTCATGATAGGTATCTTTCACTAAGCAGCTTCATATCTAACATCCAAGCATCAATACACAATGCCCGGAAAAGCAGAGTTGTGTTTTCTGAGTGCTACCCAGATTCTTTCTCTACTCAAGGATAATGTTATCATAATTGAGGACTATGCACGTTCTCTTTTGCATCGTATTGACCAGAGGGATGATATTGTAAAAGCATGGGCATATCTAGGTCAGCTTTACTTTGCTTGAAGCTTGCCTTTCGTTAATACCTGACCAAAGGTGGATGAGGAGAATAGGACGATTTTGTCCACAGTCCCAATATATTGATTTTCATTCGCCTCAGATTCACAACAGATACTCAGACAAGCACGAGCACTAGACAGAGTTCCTCCCACACAACGAGGTCCACTCCACGGTCTTGCGATTGCGATCAAAGATTCCATTAACACCAAAGCTGGGTGGTTCAAGTTTCTATTGCCAAGCTCCCATTGATTAACATGCATGTAGACATGCCTACAGAGTTTGGTTGCTCATTATACCAGGGAAATCAACCAACTCTTGATTCATCTGCAGTTTCTATTCTCCGAAATGCTGGAGCTCTTATTTTGGGTTCATGCAACTGTACATACAGCGAAGTGCTATACTGTTATACTTCTATGATAGATGGTTTCCCCTCCCAGGCAAAACCACGACACCAGGACTAACCTGGCTCAACAGCGGTCCCCAAACCGCCAATCTCCACGATGTAAACCGCACTCCAGGCAGATCATCTACAGGCTCAGCAGCAGTAGCCGCCGACTTCCAGGTCCCTTTCAGTATCGGGACTCAAACCAGCGGGAGTATTATCCGTCCAGCATCGTACACTGGTATTTTTGCCATGAAACCAACATACAATGCGATTTCTCTCAAAGGCCAAAAAATCTGTTCAATCTCTCTTGATACAATCGGTTTCTTTGCTCGCTATATCGAGGATCTCCAACTACTTACTGATGCATTTTCTCTCAAAGACATACACCCTCACAAGACCATACCCTTGAAAGAAATTCGAGTAGCATTAATGCAAACTCCAATGTAGGATCAAGCCGGCCCCGGTACCATCACCGCTATGAATACCGCCTTCACCATTCTCCACAACCGCGGTATCAAAATTGACCAAGTTGCTTTCCCCCCAGAATACGCCAATTCCAAAGTGCTTGCCCAAAACTTCAACACCATTTACGAAACCGAAGCGCGATCGTCTTTCCGCCAAGAATACAACATGGATAAATCAAAGCTCCATCCCGAAATCCGTACTTTCGTCGAAACCCCACCCCCACTCCACAAAAACACTCTCAAGCTCTCGACTACTTCGCCCGCATCCGAAAAATCTTCACTTCTTCCATCTTCTCCCAATCGACGCAATTCTCACCCCCAGCGTCCCAGACGAAGCACCTCTCGGTCTACACGATATGGGAAGTTCGGTATTCAATTTCTTCTGGACAGTGCGTATATTTTATCCTCCCTCCCTACAATCCCTCCCCTCCTTCTCCACCCCCATCCGCATCTCATTACATCAACAAACCCCATTCACGTCCTCCAATCCCAAAAGTCAACTCACATGCCCGTGAATATCCCCGCGTTCATCGGTCCCACCAGGATGCCCATCGGTCTCTCACTCATCGCATCTCCATTTCGCGATCAGCATCTCTTGTTTCTCGCTAAATGTATCGCGGAACCGCTTATGAGTGAGGGTGGTTGCAAGGGAAACTCGCCTCCGAATCACCAAGTCTAAGGTTAGGGAGAGAGTGTGCTGGGTTGATAGCTCATTCTTCTACCCGGGTGTGAGTTGAGTTAATTTGATGTGATGCGATGCGATATGATATGATAATATTAAGCAATGCCCATGTAGAATTCATAGCATGCATGCGTGAAATCATTCTTGGAGGCGTGGAATGTAGAGCCCATTCATAAATATAGATTGATGTCCAAAGAGGGAAATTTTGGATAATCATACCTAGCCCTACCTAGGTACCTACTTGTAATATTTAAATAAGAGGAGGGGATACCATGCCAATACGAGTAATGAGACAGTATATTCGTCAATTGTGAGATATCAAATATGGAAATGAATATTGTGGGACGAGAAGAGATGTACAATTAAATACACATGTATGAATGGGTGTTCATAGATTCAATATCAATACCAGTAGCGAATAAGGAATGAGGAATCGGCAATCTATATTTCATTCTCTCTCGTATTATCGTGTATATGCCCAAGATTCTACACAGAAAAATAAAAAGAATTGATATTAATTCCCTTAATCCCACGTCATTAGGGACATATATAGCCAATCCAATTCTCAATCCATATATTTATTATTCCCTCTGCCTCCCGCCTCCCGCCTCCCGCCTCCCCCCACCTAATCACCATCTTTCCATCTACTCCAACAACCCCGCCGCAACCGTCACCCCATCACACCTCAAGATAACTCTCCCGGGCGCCTCCAACGGCACCGGAACCTCCAACTCGACCAGCACCCTCGCCACCTGCGCCGGCTTAACAATCCTGGGTTTCTTCTTCCCCAACGTCTTCCCCGTTCCCTTATCCAACACCGCCACCAACTCCTTAATCCTACCCGCAGTATGCATACGACCTCTATGAACATCGACTTGCATTGGGGTCAAGAATTCAAAGGCCAGAACCTTGGCTGTGAAGGTTTTGATAACACTAATCGGTTGACTAGGTGTGCAAAGTACATCGCCGATTTTGAGATGAGCTTGATCGATATCGCTAAGATGGATTGTGATGATTTGGCCTGCGACTGCCCAATCAACCGTTTCGTTATCCATTTCGAGGCCTTTGATGAAACATTTTTCGTTGCTAGGTTGTGCTAACAGTTGATCGCCCACTTGAAGGGAGCCGGCTTCGATGCGTCCGGATATACTCAATGGATTTTGTACGCCGCCGCGGAAGATATCGCCGATGGTTAAGCGAAGGGGTTTGGTCAGAGCTCTGGCTACTGGTTCAGAATGATCGAGTTCCTCCACAAGAGTTGGTCCTGTATACCATGCCGCTGCTTGTTCTGTTGATTTTCTGGCGATATTATCACCACGAAGGCCAGAACATGGTATGAATTTGATGTTCTGTTCTTGGAATCCAGCTGCTGTAAGGAAAGCAGAAACTTGTTGTGAGATTTCATCGAAACGATCTTGCGACCAACTGACGGTATCTAATTTGTTGACTGCTATAATAATTCGTTGAACACCCATACTTCGAGCCAATAATGCATGCTCTTTCGTTTGTCCCTTCAATCCCGATTCAAAAGATCCAACACTGGCGTCAATTACTAACACAGCGAAGTCCGCTTGACTTGCTCCAGCAATCATATTCGGAATGAAATCGCGATGACCCGGAGCATCAAGAATTGTGAATGTCGTCTTTTCAGTTTCGAATTTGTTCATCGCAATATCGATCGTTACTCCCCTGTTACGCTCTTCCGTTCCTTGGTCCAGAACCCAGGCAAGAGCGAATGAGGATTTACCCATTGCTTCTGCCTCCTTACGATAACGGTCTACTGTTCTTTGATCTACAACTTTTAGGTCGTAAAGCAGACGACCCATCAAAGTACTTTTTCCAGCGTCAACATGACCTGTCAAGGTTAGAAAGTGGAGTGAAGACTTGATAATATTAATATACCTATAACTACAAAGTTCGCAGCATTTTTACTTTTGGCTTTCTCGAATTCTGCTAAAACATCTAAATCTTTGCTCTTTATCTTATGTGTTTCAACATCAGTTGGGCCCTCTACTTTTGCTGGACCCTTTGCCGGTCCCTTTTTTCCTTTACCAGCGGCTACTATATGATTAGTTTCATTTCTTTGATGTCGCAGAAAGTACCGAACCTTTCGACTGCGCTGCTATGACAACGTCGTCTGGACTAGGTCCTGAAAAGGGGTTAGCTGGCATAATCAGGACTTCTGAGGTGTACGGCATGGTAAAATTATTCTCCGAAGGGCGTCTCGGACTTGCGCTTGCAGTTTGAAACATGGTGCTAGCGAAAGCAGATGGGCTAGCCTGGTAGACAGGAGAAGATTCTTCAACTGCGGGCTCAATCTCTGTCTTATAGCCCCTGGATGTTGGTTGCGGCTTAAGGACCTTTTCGTGCGGGTTGGAATCTTTGCGTTTCCTCAATGGAAATCCTCCATGTTTCGCATCTTTGGATAAAGAATCGCTGCTACTTGCTATAGACTTCTCATCGTGCGGTTCCGTTGAGCTTTTACCCCCAGTTTGGTCTAGAGAAAGATTTGCCATAGGCTTTTCAACCTCCAAGGACGAACTCTGCTGCTCTTGTGCCTTCTTTTTCCGTGCCGCTGCTAAAGCCTGTAACTTTGATATCTTTGGAACACCTCCAGAAGAACCTCCCAAAAGCCCGCCTGGGAGTTGTGGCGGAGGTGTGAATTTTGCAAGACGTTCAGAAGGTATTTTGAACCATGGCGTATCAGCAAAGAAGTTTTTGGCAGACGAGGTTGTAGTGTGTATTGAGGAAGGATAATCTCCATTGTAGACATCTATCATCAGTATTAGCTAGAGTTACATTGAAAACAAGGGTAACAAAGGGTAAGACGAGGAACCCACCTCCGGTCCAAATAATGTATGTATTTATGATGCGATAAAAAAAGACAAAACATAGAAGAAGAAAAAACTTTCAAGACGTAATGAAATCAACCCACCAGAACCTTTCTTTCCAGCAGCTTTCTTAGGAACTTTAGGCGTTAAAGTTCCGAGCAGGTATGTGACTGACTTTTCTATATCGTAATAATAATGCCACAAGGCTTCTTGTATTTGCTTATCCGTGAAATTGGTCGAATCGGCTGGTAAGATTTCGCGTACTTTGATCGTTCCTTCTCGCATCTGCTCTTGATCTTCTTCACTCAGTTCTTATACCACGAATTAGCCAATGTCTGCGGAGAGACAGTCGAAAATATGCAAAAAAAACTCTCATTCGCACCTTGACCAGCTTCCTCCTCCTCATAATCTTCTTCGTAAATGTCATCTGCGTCATCGTAATCGAGAGCCATTGCTTTGACAAACTTGTGGCGAGACATCTTGTAATGAATATCGAGAATTGTATGTATTTGCCCTGTATGATTGTAAATGTGATATAATGATTTGCGTGTTGGTGAGGAGTATGAAGTTGTTGAGAAGAAATCGTGAGAAAAGTCTGTGGTGATCGAGTTTTTATGTATGAGATGGAAATTAAATTACAGTAAAGGTTTCCAATGATCGTGGGGTTCGATATCGTCATTGATGAAGCTAGTAGTACGAGGGGCTTGATTAGTCACCCTTAGATCAAGAAAAGAAAGCTTGGGCTTTGAGCTATCATTAGGTATCCGAAATAGGTAAGAAAGGCACATCTATTTGTACTAGTATTATGTTTCAAACGTCAATTAGATTTTAGCTTCAAGCCGTTCGAAACCAAATCATACCTTGGTAGGCGAGTAGCAGATACTACGTGGGTATATGGATATCCGTTCAAACCTTGTCAGAAGCTAGAGCCATCAATGTACGGCTACCTGAGTATGGATGGCGTAAAGTTCGAGATAGAACATTACTAAGAAAGCTTAGCACATAATAGTAATAGATAAATATAGAGAACTGTTTACTAGCAACCAACTTGATTATGCAGTCAAAGATGATAATTCTCATGTCAGACGTTTTACTGTGGCACTATAAGAAGAACATCCGCATAGTTGCTTCCTTTCAGCGTGACGAATATATCAAGTATTTAGGGGGTGAATTGGACGATATTTGTAATCACAAATTAAAGACAGATTTCATTACACTATCAATATAAGTATACAATTTCCTCCAGGAATATGATGTCCGTAAATTCATTCGACTCCATGATATCTTTTAACTCCAGCCTCGAAATGAACTCCGCCGACTGAGATACAGAGAAATTGATAGACGTGACTCGCACACAAAAAACGCCTCGCTTCTTTGGATGAACTCAAAGATCTATGAGACTTTCTTCCACTACCTTAGTCTGCGGGACATTTTGTGGAGCAGAAGGGAATGACTCTTGAGAGTATCCGTTGAAACTCGATACAGGAGGCGCCGGCCATGATTGTTGAGGCGCTGGAGCCTGTTGCTGTGATTGCCAGTATGGGGGTTGCTGTTGAGGAGTAGGATACGATGGCTCTTGTGGGTTTGGTGGCTGATGGGTGAGTTGTTGAGGCGATGGTGCATGCGGGTACTGAGGAGGTGACTGGACTGAATACTGTGGTTTTGATTGATCCTGTGCTGGCTGAGTTTGATGAGAAACCGGAGTCCCGTAGTAAGGCGCTGCGTTAGGATCTGTGGATGTATTATTGATTGACTCCGACGGAGCAAAGTTTGCAGGAGGTTGAGATGGAACACCTTGAGGTGTCTGAGCTTGGACGGGGGGCTGGTATTGCTGTTGGGGTGAAAAAGGGGCCGGTGGAGCCGAGTATTGAGGAGCAATCTCAATCGTTTGCCAGTTACCAGTATGTTGGCGTTGAATTTGATGACCTTGTTGCTGGGAATAGTTCTCGTTACGCTGGTCTAGTGTAGGATAATTGATATCGGAAACAGAAGACCTTTTACTGTATGCAGGGTGCTGTTGACCGGTAGGGTAGGAATATGTGGATTGGGGCGGTGCGTAAGGTTCTCGTTGAGAATTACCCGTATAAAAGCTTTCTGCCCCTCCACTTCCATTGGGTATATTGGAAGGAATAGAAGGATACATGCTAGGTCCACCAGCCTGCTGGGGAGGATTGTAACCTCCAATGTTATGTTGATTATATGTGTTTGACAAACGTTCCTCGAGCATACGATCGTAATACCGTACAACGGTGGAAAGCTTGGCGTGCAAATCAAGTAGAGCATCTATGAACTGTTAGTTAGAGTACAAGAATGATAAATAATCACAAACCATGCTTGCTCATTGTTTCTCCGTAGGTGCGGGCCAATTTTGGACGAAGAGTACCAATGCTATCATAAAGCTCTTGGATTTGTGGCTCCCGAAGAATTGTCCCTGGAGGTTGGGTTTGTAGTCTATCTACGAGGGTGGAGAAGAGATTGATGTTTTCTGCCTCAACAGGGGTAAGTTCGTAATCGTTCTTTGGGAGACTGATGTGGCCTGTGGAAGAGTTGTTCAAATTAATAGTGGAGGACTGCTCCTTGATGGTAGCTGTATGCTTCTTCTTCTGTTCTTCCATGTCGGCCAGTGATGCAGCAATCGCCGCTTTTAGATCGTCATCTTCTTCCTCTCCAGACTTGCCTGTGTCTGTTTTAACTCCTTTAGTTGGTGGTTCGCGGGATTCTGGCACAGGCTGAAGTTTCGATTGTGGAACATAGCCAGCTCCCGAGTGACCATTGACTTCCTCCAGACTCATTGCCAAAGCTCGCTTGAGATCTTCGTCAAAACCGTCATCCACCCGGGCGTCTCGAGGTTGCATGGATGCATGTGATTTGTGTTTGTGGTGGGATGTATGCGTGGGTGATCTTTCATTGGTAAATGTAGGACCCTTGGAAGATTTATCGGTAAGTTTTATGTAACAACCATCATCTACTCTAACAGGTTGTAGAATACCAAGATGGGGCAGGGGTAAGGTTTTGCTTGAGCATTGTTGATCGAAAACATTGCCACAATTTCGACAATGGTGCTTTCGATTTGTGAAGCTAAATGATGTTCGACATCGCATGCAAACATCTGAGTCTATCCATTCTGGTGGCTTGTAACAGGTCAATAAAAGTCTACTAGGGAGCAATGATCTACTTACAGCACTACTATCCAGCATACTACTCGCGACATCAGTCTTGGGAGGAAATCGGAACCCCTCTCTTTGTAGAGCTCTATAGGTCTCTCCAATGTAAGACAATTCGCTGCGACCCTCGGTCGCTGTAGCCCAGCTCTGAATAAGCTCCAATATTTTGTTCTTGACGTCGTCATTAACTGCAGCTCCTCCATATGCCTTGAGAAGTGAAACCAAATTATCCATAAACTCTCGCGATGCAATCTCGACAAGGAAGTGCGAACCGCCGTTTTTGACGCAGGTATCCGTGAGCTGTTAGCAGAATTAGTAAAGAGTCATCAATGAATGGAGCCTAGTCATTTATACATTTAGTGCACTGAGTTGAAAGTTGGGATTCTTGTTGCCTATGCGCCTTTTCAGTGATCGCATAGCTTCATTTGCGCGTACAGTTTTGGAACGGATGACATCGGAAATCTCGAGGTTGAGTGCGATATCCTCTCTGATTAATGTCAGTAGTGTTTCCCTTCTTCTCGATGGAATTCAAGACTAACAAGGAAGAGTTGGTAGCTTTTTCAATCTGCTCATCCAAAGCAGAGTTGGATGCGAACCATCCTGCCATCATCTTGGCGACTTTGAAATTATTGATATGCTCGAATTTTGGGCTTCAGGCGGAGACGGGCGTTATGAATTTGATAGTCAGGTATTCGTGATTTGTAGAAAAGGCTGTTTCGAAATGACGAAGTGGTAAATAGTTGTGTGAGGGCTCAGCCTTTTCTTTCCCTGTTCCTTTCTCCGATAGAACACTCCAATATTTGATGCGGAATGAGATTAAATTAGATCGTTATGTCGTATGTCGACACCTAATTTGTAGGTAGGGGTTTGCAGTACAGAGGATGTTTGTACGGAGTATTGAGGTACTGGGTAGGTTGATAAAGTTGATGTTATGCGAAGCTGGTAAATGTGACGATTGAATCAATCAATGGGGGTAGGGGTGGCTCTAAAATAAATGACTAATGAAGCTCGACAGCTCCTGTATGTATGAAAAGTACCTACCATGGGCATTTGATGGCACGTGCTGAGCATCATGAGGGTGAGTTTATGATTGACTGATAGATTCACGGCGTATCTGATCCAAAATCCATGCGGCAAACACACACACACACACTAGGGGAACCTAGTACCTAGACATCATTCAAATCACCATTCGACGATCCAAGGTATACAGGTGATTCGTACTATATCAATGACTACCGGTACATACACATGCTCTCTGTCTTGGCATTGGAGTAGAGATCTTGTTAATTATTCATATTCTATGCGTCTAATAAGAAAGAAGATATAAAGACTACGAGACTACCTATACTTAGTAACAAACCTCACTCACCGCCCACTATCGATAAAGATTATACTACACCTACTACGTAGGTACCTGAGAAATACAGCCATCCGTACTCTCCTCTAAAGTCCACGGATCTCCTCCATGCTTGATGCATAAGGAATTCAAGCCTTCGAAGAATGCATGTGGCGCAAAGCAACAATAAAGACAACAAGCAACGACAATACCCTTTCCCGACTCGATAAACGCATCTCGGACTTCAGGTCCATTTATTCTTTGATCTCCTTTCATTCAACTTTCTTTGAACATTCCCCGTTCACGTATCTCGGGTCCCAGAGCATTTCTTGTCGTTTCCCGTCTCCCTTTCAACCACCCAAACCTTTAAAGAATACGATTTAATTGAATTCGACATCCAGCTCCTCCATCGTAGAACAGAATGCTCCAGCGGCATTTTGAAAATCTATAACCATGAGTCCAGCGGCCATCGGTGGCGCCCACTTGCGAACTACCTCGATCAATGGAACTGGGCCAATCAACAACACAAAGAAAGATGGCGTTAATGGTAATGGCACTATGAATGCCAATATTCGAATGCTACCGCACCTAGACGATCTGGTGAATGCGAAACCACTTGTCGATAGACAGTCCTCGTTACGAAAGTTGCTGGAAGCTGGCGAAGAAGCTGCGAAACATGCGGAAACTTACATAGACTTTAAACGCCTGGATTTAGCTCTTCAACAGTACATCATAGCCTTTACAATAGCCGTGGAATATATTCCTCAGAGTCCGCATTATCCAGATCTAAGGAGTAGGTCGGATTACACTCGATTATACGCTGGCCTGCAGAAACGGCTCAATACACAACATGGTAAATTCGAGGAAGTCAAGAAAACAATCAAGGAGGATAATACAAGGACCGGAGTCAGCCCATCTAGTTTACTTCCATATAATGGACAATCTGTCCCTGGAAATACCAATAACACCGCATTCAAGCCAACCATATCCGATGCCAATAGCAACCCAACCAATAAAAGGATTGAACCCCGCCAAAAGCCAGTGATACAACCAAAACCACAAGGGCTTCATGGAAATTCGATACAAATAGCAAATGGGACATCATCCAGTCTGCCCAGCTCATCCGAGAGTGACTTGGCTGCAAGATTCGCCCGTCTGAGGAGTCCAAATACTACGGCCCCTACTCAAGATCCTAGGATTAGGACTCAACAAATTACTATTCCAGACGAAACCAGAATAGATCAAAAGCCAACCAATCCAACATCGCAGTACAAGCAAAATGGGAGTATATTGCGGCCCCTTGGCCCAAGAGAAATGCCAATGAGTCCAGCAACTCTCAAGACAGAGAAACCCATCCTTGACATGGATACAAGTGTTCCCATGATGCCGAGAATGCCGGATGCGATCTATAGTCCAGCACGTAGTACAGACGTGGTTTCGACCAACAGCCAACCGCCACTGTTATCTCGAGGGTCTTCCTACTTTAACGGGAAAAGAGAGCCTTCTAGTTCAGTTGCAAAAGTCTCTCGCAATCGAATTGTAGTTGACGATGCAACTGATTATTTCTCAAACTCTGAGGTCAGTAATTACACATTTGATCATGGTCATCCTGAGCCTGAAACCCGGATTGACAAGCCATCAATACCCAATGCTACAACTATTACTGCCGAGCAGCTTCATGGTTTTCTCAAAATGGGCTCTAAAACCTTGAGTGTCTTGATCGTGGATATTAGAAGCAGAGAAGAATTCAATGAGGGGCACATCATGGCCTCATCGATCATTTGCATTGAACCTATAGCCCTACGAAAAGACATGTCCGCAGAAGATCTTGGAGAAGGAATTGTTTTATCTCCTGAATCGGAACAAAGGTTGTACGATCAGAGGCATACATTTGACTTGATAGTCTATTACGATCAATCCTCGATGCCCATAAATACAGAACATGTTCCAGGCGAACCTCTTAATCATTTGCAACACTTTAGTAAAATTATTTACGACCATGCTTACGATCACCGATTAAAGCGACGACCGATGTTACTTGTTGGCGGTCTAGACTCTTGGATAGACCTCTTTGGGCCGAATGTATTAAAGAGCGAAATTCCTGGCAATAAATCTCTGGTCAAGAACAAAAAACATGACCATCAAGGCTTGGGTCGAGTTTCTATAGCGCGAAGAGGTTTGGTCGCAAAAAAAACACCTAGATTACGAACTTTATCAGCGGCAGAGGAAGAGAAATGGGATCAGGCTTTAAAACAACATTCCGATGATGAGTCACCTGCTCAGGACTCCGCCATGGACGAATCTTATTATGCAAGAACTACCGAGGACTTTATGAGGAGATACCCAGAGCTTCCATCAGTCAAGCAATCCATGGCACCGCCATCAATGCCCAGGTCATTACCTCTCTATGATGGATCAAAAATTTCAGCCCCACCAACTCGTCCGCCACCAGCTCTACCACGGCAGAGATCTAATGGCATTTTCGAACAGATACCCTACAAGAATCATACCATGACAGGAGGAAATTCCAGCGCTCCTCCCGCGATAGATCCTGGTCTCTGTGGTTTAAGAAATATCACGGGTGGTCTCTGTTACATGAATGCCGTTGTCCAGGCCATTGGTTCGTCGCCAGGAATAAGGAACATGTTTATTAAATTTCAATATCCTTGTATTCCGGAAGTCCCGAAAAAACCAGGCGAAGATAGCCCTCCGAGGCTGTTGATGACCCGAGCTCTGCGCAGCTTGCTACAACATATGTGGTGTGGAAAGTACGACGAGATTGTTCCAAGAATGTTTCAAGTAAGCTTTTATATTCTAAGAATTCCATCGACTAACAATTCATAGCAATATGTCCATGCAACCGCCGTTGGCCATGAAGGTTACATAGGTCTTGATCAGTCTCGCGTTAGTGGCACTGATCACAGACCCGATACAACTTTCGGAACTGCTAGACAGCATGATGCCAACGAGTTTTTAGCTTGGCTTTTTGATGTTATCATGGATGAACAGAATATCCATCGTGACAAGACTGGACTGTTAGGTGATGTCTCAACTTTTTCGCCAAAGGAGAAAAGTGAATTGCCGAGAACTCAAAATTGTCGCGAAGGATATGAAAGAGCCCTTGAAACGTTGAATTCGCCCCTAGCAAAACTTGTCTGTAATCAAAAGATGTATGAGATAGTTTGTCAGACTTGTAAGGACACTAGCGTGACCTCGGATATGCTCTCTCCTATAATATATCTAGGGGTTGATCCCAACGGAGGACCAAATCAGAATTTGCACTCTCTGCTTCGGACCTATTGTCTCACTGAGGAGAGAACAGAATTGGATTGCGATGGATGTGGTGTCACACACTCGCGCACCAAAATCCAGAGGCAGCTCTTTTCTAGTCTCCCGGACTACCTCGTCATTCCTTTCAAGATAGCTCAAATGGCTGGCGAAGTACAGGCTAATCGCTTAAATGTTCAAGTGAGCTTTCCACTGGTTCTTGATATGGCAGAATACACATGGCTATCACAGAGAGACGGATACTCAGATCGAGTTCTTCCTCATCAGAGACCACCATTCTTATACGACTGTTATGCCGCGGTACAACACAGTGGATCGACGGAATCTGGACACTATTGGTCTTTGGTCCGTAGGATAGACCCGAATAACAGGTGGACCGACAATTGGCACGAGTTCAATGATAGTAGAGTGATACCAGGTAAAACTTTTGCTGATACACAAAGCTATCGAACTGTTATGGTCTTTTACCGTCGTCAAGGCGCTGCTTGATATCTATGTCAATTCGCTACTTTCAGCAATGGAGTCATGGTTTACAAAGTTTGGCGTCATGGGAGGGGCTCAACTCAATGGAGATGTATGTAGAGCAAGGCGTTGGTTATATAGTTGGAAAGCTCGATGCGGGGAAGGGAAATGGGAAGGGAAATGGAAACGAACAATGTTTATATGCGACCGGTTGGAGCCTTTGGAAGCGAAGATGCAAATATTGTTTACATGAATGAATGAATGTTACAACAGTTTTTTTTTACAACAAGTATGAATTGAATTGATACAAGGTAGATTTATTCTTGATGTATGTGAAAATAATATTGTTATATAGTTTTCATTTTTATAATTTTAAGATACAGATGATTCATCGGATTTTATCGGGTGTTGTTTACAGAGTCTTGTGGGTGTATATGAGTTACTATGATATCGAATCCATAGTTAGTTTTCTTTCCTTCTAACTTTCTGTCATACTTTTTGTGGACTTTGTCGTGATGATTCAATTGTGTGGTCAAAACAATATCCATGTATTCCGATGAAGAGAGAGAGTAGACAGCTGCGGATATTAACGGCAATATTGAATTGGGACAACTAATGCTTTCATGCCGTAGCCGAATCCTGTGATACCATAGAGTATGTATGCGATACAAAAAGGGGCTCTATCCTGAGGTGGTGTTGTTAAGCGTGCTCGCGTGCTAGATTTGTGAGGTGAGGTGGGCTCGAGGTGAGGTAGTTAGTGTGTATATAACAATTGAACACCCTGGCGAGCCGGTTTTTCTTTTATTCGTCGACGGACCATCGCTCTATGGGAAATTTTATCCTGGTGTTGGGTAAAGCTGCTTACTGAATAGTAAGTACCTAGGTAGTTGAAGAAAAAAGTTTTTTGGAATTATCTACTTGATATAAATATCTAGGTAGTGGCGATTCCCGAGGACAATCGCCCAATTCAGGGATTTTTGTTCTTTGTGAAGAAATCCAGCTGGTTCTATATGATATTGGTTTGCCTCCGTGTACAGGACGTCATTGAAGCTTTTCAAGACACTTACGTTATCTACGATGTTACGGAAACTTTTTTATGTTATGAATCATCGGAAGTGGAAATTCGTATAAATGGGTGGATACAACAGTGGGGAAGTGTTGGTTTCATCTCGTGAGATTTTGGTACATAAGGAGGATGAATGGACGGGATTGATGTTTTTGTTTTTGTTTTTACTTTGGATATAAGTTATCCAAGTGTTAGTGCTTTGAGATTGCTTGATTAACATCCTTCAGATAAGCAATATTAAACGATATAGCTTTTCAATCACGCTTCAACCAAATTTGTCATCCAATTCCCATTCCCACACTTCATCACATCAATCTTCTCAGCATGTCCGAAACCACCTACCTCATCACCGGCGCCAACCGCGGAATCGGCAAAGGTCTCCTCACCGCACTAGTTTCCCGCCCAAACACCATCGTCATCGCCGCCGTGCGCACTCTCTCCTCCTCCCTCCCCATCTTCTCCTCCATCCCCCTCGGCCAAAACAGCAAAATCATACCCGTGAAAATCGATTCCATTTCCGAAACCGACCCCCTGGCCGCCGTCTCGGAGCTCAAATCCACACACGGAATCACCAAACTCGATGTTCTCATCTCCAACGCCGGAATGATGGAATCCGATGCCATCGTCCCGGTTTTGAAATCCTCGCCGGAATCGATTAGGAGACATATGGATGTTAATACTATTGGACCTTTGTTACTATTCCAAGCATTTCATCCGCTTCTTGTCGCTTCTGAGAATCCGCGTTTCTTTACTATTTCTTCGTTGTTGGGATCGATTGCCGAGTGTGAGAAGGTTCGGGTACCGTTTGCTTCTTATGGGATGAGTAAAGCGGCGGTGAACTATATGGTGAGGAAACTTTCGTTTGAAGTTCCGGAGGTGACGAGCGTGGTGTTTAATCCTGGGTGGGTCAAGACGGATATGGGTAATGAGGCGGCGAGGGGAGTAGGGATGGGAGAGGCGCCAACGGCGTTTGAGGATTGTATTGAGCAGTTGGTGGGGCTGTTTGATAGGGTGAAGAAGGAACAGTCGGGAAGTTTCTTGGATGCGGCGACGGGGGAGGTTTGTGCTTGGTAGAGGGGTTGTGAAGCGGGAATTTGTGATTATGAGATTCGGAGATCTAGAATCAGGTGTACAATATATGAGGCTTCCTTTCTAATTGGCTTCAATCTGTAGAGATAGCTCTCAGTAGTGTGCTCCAGAGTAAGGGATAGCCCAATCCTTTCTATTGCTTCTGGTGCCTTTTTGTGGAAAGTAAGTAGACACCACAGGTCGGTGACATGGATAAGAAATCAATGATGGAAATGATTCACTCGGCCTTCTTAAGTAAGCAGATTCCTATTCTTCCCTTTTGTAGTTCACTCTCAAGTACTGCTCGTCAATACATTGAATATCATTGAACAGATCCATACCTTCCCGCAGACTAAAAAACTAGCCACTTGTTCCGATTTTCCAAATTCCTCTGTATAAAAGCTCGCTAAAGTAGGCGCCAGATTAAATGATTAGTCCAGAAGCAGGCCACAAAGCCACGCAAGGTGCTGGAATATGTAGTGCTGTTAAGCGTGCGGATAAAATATCGAAGTACAATTATCCCGAATATTAACATTTGTTATTCGGTTCCAAGATCAGAGGCCAGGCCCGACTTCATGATAGAAATAGAAAATTTACTAGAGTCTGACAATGAGAGATGTTGAAAGACAGTGGAAACAAGATGTGACGACTAATAAAGACACTAACGAAACTGTACTCAAAGGTCTGGAGCCTACTTGAACAAATATCTAGGACAGCTACAATCAAGCACAATTGTCTCCCAGGGTGTGTCGAGCGCGCTTCTTTTTGAGTGGCGCATATAGGTAAAAATCGGCAGACGCAATACCAACATGTCTGGAAGAATGTATGGGAAGGGAATCGGTATAATACCTGACGATAGTGAAACAAGTAGATAGATAAGCGGCAACACGAATGTGTTAGTGAAAGATGGTATTGCAAAATATTCAGCGATGAATAATCACAATTTACAGATCAACTGAGAATATCATAATTTGTTTAATTCTTCAGATGGGTACTGAAGAGTTAATAGGCTTTCCAAATGTACAGGCTTGAATCTAAGAGATGTTTCTCGATCTCTCATCGTAGACCATGTGGAAGGGCCCTGTTCGGTTTCTGGTTATATAATTGTAATATAACCTAAGGACAAAGTCTGCTTCTTTACAGAATTCTGATGGCTCCTCCCTCTCTATTCGATCTCATCAATTAATGCCCCAGGTCCTGCAAGTTACCTTCAAGGTGGAGTCATTCACGTGTTTCTTTGTACAGGAGTGAATATGGCTTCTCATTTTCTTATTTAAACAAGCTCTGCACTTATATACTTATCGGGTACAGACCTCAATAGCCAGTGAAATTTTCAATTGAGCCAAGGGAAACAAGACTTAGAAGCCTTGCCTTCTTAACCTTGCTTTATGTTCTTGTGACCACTAGAGCTATTGAGGGGGTTTCCAACAACACAATGATATGGTACAACCTACTTCCTGTTCAGCACAGTCACATCCAATATCAAACGACGCATGTTTCGGGTGACTTATCTCCAAGAAAATATTCGTAGAATCATGAAATCATGACAAACAATGACAATCAGCGAATGGACAGTGATTAAGTGAGAACAACGTATGCCTCCGACATCCAATTTGTGTCAACGCAAAGGAGCATACGGTAGACAAAGCTCTCCGGTGAGAAGTGCACTTGATATAAAGTATCTGTAGCTGGAAAATCGATAGCATCATTTGTCAAAGCTAAGTTGAATTAGGCTGTTTTTCAATTGTAATGAATGCATTGTAGAAATTGCCCCATGAAACACCTGCTCTTGCTTGGCCATCAATACCCTTTCACTATTGAAAAAAGAAGACAAAGGTTGTTTGCGTACTTCACCTGGGTAGGTATCCATAGCTCTTTTAGCTCCAATTACCATTGAGTAAATCACATGGTCTAATAATATAATTAAGCGTTTCCAGGCTGATAATTCTCCACGTGTGGTGATGGCTTCGTCTTACCTCAACATTTAGCCTTACTGTCGTCTATTAAGAAGCCGATACAAGTCTAGCTTTCACTGCCTAGGTATCAAAGATCAGTAATTTGATGGATCAAACGATGACAATGTCTAGTGATCAGGCGTTAAGTTATCAAGGAATGTATTTCGTCTATATGAACAGCGAAGAAAACTATATATGATGATACAGAGAAGACAAAATAATCATCTGGATGGTCTGTGTCTTTGCCCCTTCGACTCGCACATACACACTTAGGCAAAAATGAGACCGTATCCCGCGACTGATGTCAGAAGCGCAAAAACTATCTCGAGGTGTGTTAGTTGAGATTGTGAGTATCTTAACAGAAGCAGTGTCATCTACGAAAATATTGATCTATGCACCTCAATTTATGCACTGCATCTTCGCCAATCCGTTGATGAATCAATGCATTTCTCCATAGTCCACATGCTGGCCTGTCGATCAACTCGAATCAAAGGCATTCTAAGCTCTAAGTGCGAGGTCGAGGTAGATTGTAATGATGAGTGTACATATGAAAGTAGAGGAGAGGAGAGGAGAGGAGAGGAAGAAAGAAAGATGCAATGGCAGCAAATTGAGGCTAGTGCAAGATAAAATACGATAGTAACCAAAATTCTTGAGAATATGACAGGCCAATACCACTATACTCTCGCTTCCATAAAGCTCTCAAATAATCAGATAGCTAGAGAACACTCGTAATTCCTAAAAGTTCAACAACTGGCTACTTTTCGAAAATTCGGTATCAAAGGTTGCTAAAGACCTGGTGTTATCGATCATTGAACTCAAGGGGCATGAAATTTCTTTTAAAGTGGCCGAAAGACTTTTTCAAAGCTTCCTATCAAGCATCTCATATGTTAAATCTCCTGATATCCACATTGGCTCCATCTTGTTGAAGTATATTTGCTTGATTTTCTGTCGAGACTTATAGCATTGGATGAGATTGAAATTTTGTGCAAGATCTTCGACATGAAAGATTCTAAGCTTTCCGAATACACTTGAATCTGTTCTGATATCTAATTTAGATCGTTCCAAGGAAAACTAATGTCTCAAGATACCTATCATTTAGCTTTTGAATGTTATAAATCTCATGTCATCGAATCGGATCACTTGGTTTCGATGTTAAAGCGAGAATATAACTCTAACGAACATTTTCGTGAGATTTTGCTGAATCCTAGATTAAATCAACGCCCTTTCTGTGCCTAGAAATTAGAAGTTATTATCTCCAAATCGTAGCCTACAGGTCTATCCACTGTTATGAGATTAGGTAGCATGTAATTTTGTGCGGACTGGTCGCCAATTGGGCCCGTATATTACATATATGACCTGATGGGAACTAGGTAACCATAATTTGAGAATATTTTGATTGAAATGATGAAATTTTACACACCACTGCCAACATTGTGGATAACTTTGGTAGAAGAGACGATCCAGAAAGTTTTGTAGAAATGTATTTAAAGAATGCTTTCCGATTGTTCTTTACTTAATTATATAGACCATCTGCTCTCTCATTCTCTGGACTTTTATTACAGAATCCCATTCCCATACAAACACAATTTTCAGATTCAAATCTATAACTATTCACCTTCATCCAACTTTATCTGTCTATCAACTTTCCAGTTATTTCTATTACAAGATTCACGATGTCTGCAGTTTCCCCGGAAGAGGTCTTACGATGGTCGAAGTGGGACAAAGAAACTTTGAAACGCAAAGCAGAAGCTACACTATCTGATGATAAACAAGATTTTAAGGATAAAAAGACTGCAGAAGATATACTTGCGGGGCAAAAGGATTGGTCACCTGAACTGATATTGAAAAAAAAGGGTGCCAGCAGATTTGATACTGAGCATGGGGTGGACAAATATATAGCAACAGCTATAAGTATGAGGTTACAGAAGGCTGCCAGCGCAAAAGCCAATGAAGATGCCAAAGATGCCCAAAAGGCCATGGCAAAGTTATCGATGAACAGTTCTTCGAACGATCGAGAAATTGCAAATCAGGGTGCACTACCAAGGGAGGGCCGTAATAGTGTCGCACGTCAAACAGGCAAGCACGATCGCGATCACAGCATCCCGAGAGCCGGAGAACCGTCAAAGAAACCTGCCACTGATTCTACCAAGACTGGCTCTTCAAAGCCTTCCAGTCATTCCACTGCCAGCCCATCGAACGCTCCCAGACCTCCCGTTGCCAGCTCTTCAACTGCAACTGGCTCTACACATGATAAGCATCCCGAATCTAGATCTTCAAGACCCACCAACCCTACCACTGCTAGCTCTTCAAAGCCTCCCAATCCTCCTACTACTACTTCTACACATGGTAGACGTCCCGAACCTAGATCTTCAAGACCCAACAACCCCCCCGCTACTAGTGCACCCACCCCCAAACCCCCCAAACCTACCACGGTCGTTGCAAGCTCTTCGAATTCCAGCAGCGGACCATTTTCTAAAATCGATCTTAAAGAACCATACAAAAAGGTAGGTGAAGATTTCGTGTGCATTAAAAACCCAAGATTGTCTGGAGACTTTTAGAAGAATTAAGGACTTCAAAAGGCATTTCACTGTAAAACATCCAGAAGATGCACTCGTATATAAATGCCCATTGGGTGCTGAATGTAGAGACGAAGTATTTCGTCGTATGGATGGATTGAAGGGACATCTCATGTCGCAAAAGCATGTAGACGCCCAGGCAGAACATGACCGAAAGAAAAATGCGTCTAGGTGAGAATTATGTAGATCGGAGTACCATCGTCTTAGGGATCTCAGCTATTCAAATCGAGAGAACACCAAGGTTGAATTTCTTTTCAAAGATACCACATCCAGAGATCCCCACCCAGCTCTTCAAATCCAGTTTGCAAGACCAGGATATTAGATCCCTAAAGCTAAATAGTAACGAACTATCAAAGTATCAACGCGTTGGAATTCTGGAGTTTCAGTTATTGGAGTTTTCGGCGTTACAAACATAAAGGGAGGCCATATAGACATTACACACATTATCCCAAACCCTTATACCTAGACGTATAAACAAAAAATACCAAAAAACGCATTTACCCTCGTTAAGACAATATCAACATCAAAGAACGGTGAACATGTATCGTACAAACATAGTGAATGACTTCTATTCAATGGCTCCTATCTTACTGCCCTAAGCGAACGCAAAAGAGACCAGCTCTTTCTAGTAGCCCTTATATAAGGGCTACTATTCCCTATACACAGCTAGCTTTTTAGACAGAATTCAATATTGACATTTAGAACCTACAATCGCAGGTGCTACGTCATCTGTATCCTTCTCAAACCGGCATGTATACTCATTTCACATGAGATTAACCGAATATACAGAATCACAAATGATCGTATACCTAATCACCCAAGCTACCTATTCGGACGAGAAAACCCATTGATCACTCTATACCATACTCTTGACCTCATAAACCATGAATATCGATACAAAAATCCCAAGATAATGAATTTTGTCTTCAGCTCTAAAACCTAGGTATCTCTATACCACTCATATATATACATATAAATATACATAGACTATCGACATCATCAATCAATCAATCAACCACCATCTCCTCTCTCCTCCCCTCTTTTCTCAAAAAAGAAGACAATCCTCTAATCTTAATTTCGATTCTCAAATTGCTAACCAGGCACCCAGCAACCGCAACAGCAATCAAAAAACCAAATAATCAAAAACCCCATCCTTCTCTTTCTCCCCACAAACTTACAAGATAAATTCACACAGAAAATCTACAAGTAATAAAGAGACAAATCATCATCATCATCAATCCCAATAATTACTTAGACACATCTCCCTCCCCCTCCCCCCTCCTTTCCGTTCATCTCCCCCCCGCTAACTCCTTCCTTCTCTCGCTTAAATATGAATATAAATATAAATATAAATATAAATACAAAATGATTATTTTCTCTTGTTTCCCAACCTCATTCCATGACACCCCCCCCATCTCCCACCCACCTCTCTAAAAGAGGAAACGAAAAAGACAGAAAGAACAAAGAAAAAAGGAACAAAAGAAACAAGACATCTAACTTTCAACCTCCCACCTCCCACCTCCCTCGCTTAACAGCAAATCCAAATCCAAATCCAAATAACACCATGCAAAATCTTCAATCTTTCTATTCTCCCATCTTAAATTATCTCACCCCATTTCATTTCATTCCATTCCACTCCATCCTTTCTTTCTTTACCTTCTTCTTTCACCTCTTCCCCCCTATACGTGCCCCCTCACTCCCATAGAAACAACTACTAGGCACCTCTCTCCCATTCTAACTCCAACCCCAACTTCCAACCCGAATCCCATCCCAATCCCATCCCCATCCCATCCCATCCCATATACAAACACAAACACCAAACACAAACACAAAACATAAAACAAAAGATCAACCCCAAGTTCCCAGCCCAGAGAGCCCCCAAAACTTTCAATCTCCTTCCAGTGTCCACGTACCCAGATATACATCTCCTCATGTTCATACCATCAACTAGATTTAGGAAAGCTGTTACGCTCTCTAGTCTATTCATCAAATCAAAAAGATAAAAAGACGAGATCTGCGAACTTCAAATCTAAATTTCAAGTTCCCAACCTCAAACCTCAAATCCTAAATCCTCAGTCACTCACTTTCTTATTTTTTATCCCACACTTTTCATTCCATTCCATCCTTTCACACCAAAAACTATAAAATCACAATCGTAGATAGCCATGTTTTTAATGGTACTGTCATTAAACCCATATCATACATTTTATTTCAATCCATTTTCTCCTTTTTCCATGCCCACCTCCCTTCTTTCTCACTCCCCACCCAGCTTTTAGGAACACCTAACCCTCCTCATCTCAACTGCATCTCCCCCAATCCCCGACTCCTAATCTCCTACCCCAATACCCAAATCTACAACCCACTATCCTGACTCGTTCCATTCCTAAAACATAACAATTAGTAAACCACTCACCAAGAATTCCTACACTCCCAAAATACAAAAAACCATCTCACATAAACAATATTTCAAAAACTCGCTCGCTCACTACAAAGGACCATCTCACTTGTGTTTCTCTTCGGCATGTCCCTCAGTCTTCTTTTGTAATTCCTTAATTCCCTCTGCGGAATGATCATCATGTTCGTGGCGATCTGCTGCTACCTATATGTTATTGTATTAGTGAAATGTCTTTATGATAATGATTTTGTACGAGGTAGGGATTGAGTATAAAAAGAAAGGACATAAGAAAATGTCAATAAATAAATCCAAATAAATCTCAATATTGAGGAAGGAGATTAAGGCAGGTGAAACTGCCCAGTCGCCCAATCCCCACTTGCTAGTCCCTCCCTTTTGGAGGGCTCCCCCTCCTTATCTTCACCTCCCCTTTTTCCCACCTTCACAGAAATAATCACATCCTCATCCCACATTACCTTTTTCCCCCTCAAAGTCTCCGACTCACTAGACGAAAGAGACAACTTATGCGGCGTATGCCCACCCATAAGTATCATTTCCTTAGAAATCATCTTCTTTCTCTTCCTTCACTACTCTTGATTCCGTAGCCAAGATCTTCTTTCTCTTCCTTCACTACTCTTGATTCCGTAGCCAAGATCTCCTTTCTATCTCGACCCTTCCGAACACCAATTGATTTATACAAGAGTTCAGGTAGGAAGACTGATTGCCGTGCAACTTCCATACATGCGAGACTTCTCTTGAGTTACTTTCTCTTTACACATTTTGAAGGCCAGTCGTACAATCACAAAAAACCTTATAGAATGCAAGACCGAGAATAACCTACAGCTTCTTCACTATCACTAGCCAATTCTGGTTTCCAGTGATTCTTTCCCTCCTTTTGCTTGGCCAATTGATCTTGCTTATGACGTTCATAGTCCGCAGCTTTTTCTGGAGCGTCTATATATTTCATGCATCGAATTAGTATCTCCTAATTTCTAAATCGAGACAATGACTTTGGACGGAGATGAAAAAGTGCATAGAAATATTATCCTCAGAGAGAGGTAATAAGAGGTGAAAAGAACTCATGACCAGCAGATCCATCCCAGAATCCATACGTCAGGGCCTCGTATCTCTTATCTCGTACTCAATTACTTCATCCCAGCCCCTTCGGACATCTAGAATCCAGCAAAATCGCAGAACTGACTCCGCGTACAATTCCCCAAACAATTCATCAAATCACTTTTCAAGGAAGATTAAGAAGAAGAAAATAACTTACGTCTATCACTCTCTTTTAAAGCTCGCATACTCGAGGTAGCAAATGTACGTTTGGTGGGGGACGCGATGGAGACTGGACGAGCAGCTCGAATGGATTGACGGAGGATGAAAGACATTTTGTGTTTGGTATTTGGTGTTGATGTTGATGTTGGTTAAGGTGAATGTGGTTGTTTAATTTCTAATTGAGAGATTAGTTAGTTGATTGACTCTTCTTCTTCTTCTTCTTCTTCTTCTTCTATTTCTCCTGCTCTTCTTCTTCTCCTCTTCTTCTTCACCTCCTCCTGTACAATACCATCAAGAGAACGACGAAAAAGATAGAAGAAGCATCGATTCAATCCATCTCATCAAACTGAATAGTTTACTTACAATGTATCCAAGTAATCGTTCCTACTACAGAATCTCAATTGAAGATATAAATATAAATATAAATATAAATATAAATATAAAAATCAACAAGAAAGAAAAGAAGAAACATCATCAACAATAATAATCCCCCCCTCCCTAGCTCCCCATCCACTAGTCCCAAAACCAATATCCCTCATACCTTACCATCATACCTAGGTAATCTCTCCCACTCCATTGGTTCTCATGCTCACCCTCTCATCATCCCAACTCAAAATCCAATCCTCGATCGAGAAAACCTGCTCCTAGACATGACATTCATGTGCATTTGAAGCTTGGTGGTGGGGAAGGGGAAGATGTGGGACATGATGACGTCAATGATTTATAAGTAGGCACTCGAGTACCTAGGTATAGATAGAAGGTTATCACGTGGTTATACAATACCGGTATGTGCGATATGGACTCGGATCAGCATCAGCATCATAATCACACAAACCCATCTATCTTGTCATCCTCGGTATTCATGGATGTATATGTATATTCATACCCGTGCTTTAACCGATAAATGCATTCTTGATGACTGGATTCCCAGGTCCATGATCGACCGACTGACTGATGAAGAACTTCGAGTCATGCAATGAATACATTACGAGTATGGATTCGTAATTCAAATTCAGGGGCTTCCAACATCCATCCACATCCGCCATCCACATCCGCCAGATGCATTCAAGCCCGAGGCCCCAACCCTTCCGAACGATTCACACTGCGATTTTTGGATTTCTCGATTTACTCTTATGTTCGTGATTGTATTATGTGTACTCGTAGTTTGATGTAGGGTAATAATAATACTCCATAATCCATACAATTCAATACAATCCAGATTATATAGTTATACAGTTCGTATTTCGTATTTCGCATATAGATATTAACCTACTCGTCTATACTCACACTCACAACCATACCTACCTCCTCACACCTATACCTACCTACCTACTTACAACAGATATCTAACTACCGGTAGTTAGTCTATAAATAGTACCTAATGAAAGAAAATACATCGTATTTGATTTCTTTCCTTTCTTCCATGGCTCTTCATCTACATATATTCGAGTAGGTATACTCATTATACTTACTATGATAAGTACGTTAGATATCTAGGTCGTATGGATACATTCACAACAACTCAAGATTTCTTTCCTTGTACTTCTTTATCTATGCTTCTATTCCTATCTCTACTTCTATCTCTACCTCTATTCAACTTTCTAAATACTAAATACCTACCTATCCTATCCCTTATTAATCTATCTAACTTCGGGTCAAAAGGAGGGGAAACAGGGACCGACGAATAGAAGAGGCGCGCGGAAGCCGGAAGATAGACGAGGGGCAGTCGCTGCATAATCCATCGATGCAGCATCTCGAGACCATTTATCCAAATAATCCCATTTAAAGCATGGATAAAATCGCAATGGCAAAGGCACTTGCGAGATATACATTGGATGTCGAATATATATATATATCAATAAAAGTCATGCTAGATATCTTCAACCAGAGAAAGCATCTGCAACTTTCCTTCAACACACTTCTCATACCATTTTCAGAGCATCACCATGATGTTATCCGTGGCTGCTCTAGCAGCATGTCTCTATCTCCTCTACACTGTGATATCCATTCTCCGGGTATTGTACTACCATCCCCTCAGCCACATCCCGGGGCCGAGACTATGGATCGCCTTTCCCATATTCCGGCACCTCGCATTGCTGCGCGGGAGACAAGATATCGAGCTCCGGGCCCTGCACCAGCAATACGGCGAAGCCGTGCGCTTTGCACCCAAAGAGGTCTCCTTCATCACCGCGCAAGCCTGGCGGGACATCTACGGCCACGGCCACAAGCAACTGCCCAAGTTCCAGCACTCGGCCGCAAACCCGCGCGATATTATCAGCGCAAATGATGCGGACCACTCGCGATACCGCAAAGCGATGTCTCATGCCTTTTCCGCCAAGGGATTGCAAGCGCAAGAGCCGATATTGAAAAAATACGTTGATAAACTGATTGCTCGATTAGAGCACGAAGCAACGTCCGAGGTGCCGGTCGATATGGTGAAGTGGTATAATCTGACCACGTTTGATCTCATTGGCGATCTGGCGTTTGGACAGTCGTTTGGCGGGCTGGAGAATTCCCAGTATCACTTCTGGGTCTCGACCATCTTCGAATCCATACGCGCAATCCAGTTTGTGAAAGTCAAGGATGTCTATCCCATGCTCTTTCAATTCATCAAACCGTTCATGTCCCGCGATCTAGCAAGCGCACGTCAGCGGCAGCAGGATTACAGCAAATCAGTGGTGCAAAAGCGGCTTGCGAACCCGGAGCCCTCCAATCTTGTCGACTTCATGGATTCCATGCTGCGCCATCGTGGGGAGAAAGATGGACTGAGTGATGAAGAGTTGGTCGCCAATTCCAGTATCCTTGTCATCGCGGGCAGCGAAACAACCGCCACTTTGCTATCAGGCGTGACCTTCCTCCTCTTGAAGAACCCAGCCGCGATGAAAAAATTGACGCATGAAGTGCGCACGGTCATGCAATCAGAAGAGGACATTACTTTTGCAAACGCGACGGCAAATCTCCCATACATGTTAGCCTGTCTTGAAGAAGCCTTCCGAAGGTATCCCCCAGTAGCAACCGGTCTGCAACGAGTAACCACATCACCCACCCTCATTTCCGGCTACCAGATCCCCCCCAACGTAAGACCCGAACGCATCTCCCCCCTCAAAAATCCACTAACAACCCCCAGACCCGCGTCGCAGTCCACCAATCCGCAGCCTACCACTCCCCCCTCAATTTCCACCGCGTCACCCACTACCTCCCAGAACGCTGGCTGTCCTCCGCAAAAACCGATCCCCACTCCCCCTTCTACCACGATTCCCGCGACGTGCTGCAGCCCTTCTCCATCGGCCCCCGTAACTGCATCGGACGCAATCTCGCCTACAACGAGATGCGCGTCATCCTCGCGCGCATCATCTGGCGCTTCGATCTTGCATTGTGTGTGGAATCCCAGGCGTGGGATGATCAGAAATCGTATACGCTGTGGGAAAAGCCGCCGTTGATGTGTAGGGTGACGCCGAGGGTATTTTGAGAGGTTTATAGGGATATTGTGTCATATCTATGGATAGGACTAAAGCCAATTAGGAGAATCAATAGCCAATACCTCCTTCCCAATATCCCATCCACAGATGGATCGGCCCGTTCCATTCTCAAAAATGAGATGCATTGCTGATTCCCGGACAATCCCTTTTTACATCAACCCAGAAGCCAACTGAAGGTTCTGTACATAGGAAAGAAAACATATATTTTCTGTTTTCTCATATAAACAAAATCAAAACCAAAACCCCAATCCCAATTCCAATCCCATTTTCCCAAAGTCCAATCACACTTTCACAATCCCCAAATCCCAATTCTCAAATTTAAATATCAACTTTTCGCTCTCTTCTCTTTCAAACAACCAGAATGAAATAAAAAGAAATAAGAAGAAAATCCAACATATCCAACATATCACAAGAATTCCAACTATTATACAAGTGCGTACCTACTCACGTGGTACTATAACCCACCTACCTACTCATAATCATCCAAAATCCCAAAAAGTCCGAAAAATACTCGGTTAGAAAATTAGCATGAAAATAAAATAAAATAAAATATCCCACACCTACCAACACCAACTACTAACTACCAACTACCGCCAACTAACTTAAAAAACTAGGTATGATTCTTCATACATACATACATACATACATACATACACAGACCCTAACTCTACTCTACTCTACTCTACTCTACTCTACTCTACTCTCCAATAAGCAATCCCATCAGTCTACTATATACAGGCCTATAGGTTTAAAATACTATCTAGCAAAAATACTCTCTATCTAAAATACTCTCTCTCTCTCTCTCTCTCTCTATCTATCTCTCTCTCTATCTAGTACCTCTCCTTCTCTCCTTCTCTCCTTCTCTCCTTCTCTCCTTCTCTCCTTCTCTCCTTCATCCCTTTCTATCATACTACTACATCATATCATATCATATCATACCTCCCAACTTTATCAACATCAACATCAACATCAATATCAATATCAATATCAATATCAATATCAATATCAATATCAATATCAATATCAACATCAACATCAACATCAACATCAACATCAACATCAACATCAATCCATCATCCCCAAAACTACCCATCTACCTAGATACCATCTACCTACACAATCAAGTCTTTCTCTTCAACCTCCGAATTTTCCTTCTACATAAATAGACCATATGAATTAATTCCGTTAAATAACAAACCGCTTTCAATTCTATAAACAACTCATCATCATATTATTCATATCCATACAACATAACATACCAACCTGCATACACTCCACTACGACATACTCAACCGACAAATACTAAACACATACAAAACTAATCATCATATAATAGATAAATATAAAATATAAATTTCCTAAAGCTTGAACAAGCCAACAATATGACATTTGTACCTCCTAATCTCCCATCCAAAGACCTAGAAATACCCAAGTTTCTTGATATCATCCCAAGTACACACAAAAATCGCCTCGCCCCAGCCAAAAGTATATGATAATGACATTGGATCGAATTACATCAAGAACGCAATGTAAAAATATGCAAAAAAAACCGCATATATCCATCATGTACTTTAAAATCGCTCCAAAAACACAAGCCCAAAATACCCAACACCAGCTACAAGTGACGCTCACCCATACAAAGAGATAGCGCGCTCGACTTTGTTCAACACACCCAACCAACACCATGGATCCATAATATCAAAGAGATTGAGATGAAATCTTTGTGTCCGACCCATGTTACCCACCGAAATTTCAAACACCGGTATGCCTTTCTCCATGATTGACAATGAAAAAAGGAAATCGTTCTATGTAACTCTGAAAGATATGTCTTTTTGTTTTCGTAGACCATATGAAGTCGCCGCTTCATGTTTCCCACCCATTAAATAAAATGCTTATCCCAGAAACACCGTCGCCAAAGATATGCAATATACGCTCCAAAATCAAAAACCCCCATTATAGTGGGAAAACACCATCTCCTTATTTAAACAAAGGTATCGATATCTTGATGTAAGAGCGCCCATTAAACCATCTCAAGGAATATATGAAGAGGGGAAAGTGTCGGATGAATATACAAGAGGATTCGTTGAGGTTGTTATTTGTCATGTGCCGTCATCCATCGGGAAAGATCGATGTCGAAGAGAGAGAGAGGGTAACCCACCAGAAGGAAGAGATTGATTAAGAATGCATAACACAGATTAAAGCGAAGTTAAGAAAACCAAATTTGCTAATGGGTGAAAACAGAAGCAGGAAGAGGTCTAATAAAATCGAACTGGAACTCTGGTTGATTGTTGATGTTGTTGCATTCTGGCGGGTGATACCGAAGTAGGTGGGCTCGACATTAATCCTCCGTCATTTGGGTTCACGATGGGAATAGCGTTTCTCCCAATGCGTGTAGCGGAAGGTTGATGAATCTTTAATGCGGAAACGTTGAAACCAGATTGAACAAATGAATGAGAGTTGGAGTTTAAGGAAAAGTTTGTGTCGGGCGATAAGTTTATCGAGACTTGTGTCGATGGAGGAGAGTTTGTAGGTGAACCACTTGCCAAAGAAGAACGATCAGAACCACCATTGATTGAGACCATGTCTTCTTCGGTCAAGAGGTTAGGACAGAATTCGGCGTCATCTTCTAAATCGAATGATCGTGCGTACTCGAAGGTTCGACGGTAACTCATCAACACGGCAGCTTCCTCTTCACGCTTCGCAATCTTCTGATGTTGTTTGGTTTGTTGAATGGCATTGGGTGGTTGACGGGTATTTCGGTTCCTTCGATTATGTACCGAACCATTTTGAGCATTGGAAGGAATCGTATGCTGTTGATGAGCGTTGAAGTGTTGATAGTAAGAAGACATTATCGGCTCATGTGTGTTGGCGGCGGATAATGTAAGAGTGGGTGGTAAGAGATTGTGTGTTTTGTGATTTCGTTGTGCTGTGTTGTGTTATGCTTGGAGTGGAAGAGTGACCCGACCGGTAAGGCTTTGTGATGAACAACAAAGGAATTTGACCGGATTTTTTTGTTGGGCGGGGATGTTGACGTCGATAATAGGAGGCTGGAGGATTGAGGATGAATGATGGAAGAAAGATAAAAACCGGTGAATTGATCAAGGGTTTATTGATATTGATATTGATATTGATATTAATATTTTTAATTGATTGATATTTTATTTTATATTTTTTTGCTTGTTCCGAGTGAAGTTTGTGTGTGGAAGAAGGTTAAGAAAGGTTTTGTGAATGAATTGCCGATAGAAATGAGAATGAGAATGTAAAATGTAAAATGTGGGAGAACAAGTAGGTTTACATGATGGCTGGGGAGGGGAAAGAAGCAGTACCTTAGTACCTTAGTGGCGAAATTGAAATGGGAAGTCACACTAAGTGAGGGAGCTAAACCTAAAGATGATTAGGATTGTTGATGTAAGATGAGAGATTGTGGGTGTGATTGGTTGTGGAAGCGAGTGGTGAATATCATTAACTCCTTTGGGTCTAGTATTGAGCAGGAATGTATACTGTAGTGTTAATGGCGGTTTAAGCTGTAAGAGATTGGAATGGTCTCCGTACTAATAGTCTCTACGCTCTAACCATTTTGAGACTAAAGTTCTGTTCCGAGCATATCATGCCACAAGGTTGTCATTACCATTCACAGCCATTGCCATATGATTCATCCATGGATAGATACATTTAGTCCATCCACCCTTCTGCCACTCTGCCACCATACACCATACACCATACACCATACACCATACACCATACACCATACACCACGGACAGCATCTCATCAGCTAATCAGGGCCATCCTCAGGACCACCAGGACCACCAGGACCACCAGGACCACCAGGACCTCCCACGCTTCTCGTCCACCATTCACACGCCTCACACACTCACGCACCTGCATGACAAGTGTGCATGAGAAGATGATCTCAAACGGACTAGATCAACAACAACAACAACAACAACAACAACACAACAAGCCCTAAGTATCTAAGCATCTAAGCGTCTACAGTTTAGTTTCTGACTTTCCCACATAATTACTCTAGTTGGATCGATTGAAACGGAACGGAGAGTTTGAAGAGGGAATCTAAAGAAGCGTCTAAGAAGGGTCAACGAATAGAAATGAAGTTTAAGGGGAGTTTTACTTTCTCATCTGTTCATGGGACTTTGTGAGACTTTTGGGGTTGACATTGAAATGGCACTTGCAATTGGGAAGATGGATGTATGAACAGGACGGAGGAGGAGGACTCTTTGAATGTAATAGTGATTACCTATTTGTAGAGTTATTCATGATTTGAGAGTCATTACTTGATAGAATTATCAATGATAGAGTCTCATCATTCAATACCGAGACTCATTTGATACCGAGTGTTCATCTAATTACGAGGAATTCCAACCAGAGTATTCATCTCATTCAATTCAATACAAAAGAATCATCCATCTCAATGTAATAACAAGTCCTCAAATTAATAGCGCACTCATTTGATACCAAGTCCCCATTTCCAATCACTTACAGTAGATAATCATCCTCTGCAAAATCATCTCATTAGATAAATTCCCATTTCTACACTACACAGCCATCCTCGAGTACCTAGAGTACCGAGTATTGAATCATTCATTAGATTCATCACAGATCAGATTAACCTTACCCGTACTCCGTAAGGTTAATTAATATGTGGACATCCAAAAATAGATGGATTGATGGACTGATGGACTACTAACGGACTGATGAATGAAGAAATAAATGAAGACTCGTGGACTTCGGAATACTCAATGTAGAACAGTGTGATAGATTGATGGTAAGATCTTAATATATACATATTCCGTCTAACTATACTTATATACATTACCTATTAGATCAATACCTCCTAAAGAAACATCTACACTGTACCTACCTACATATAACCATAAAGTCCTTGATCTCAAAACTCCATATCGATAAAAATGCCACCTACCTAATCACCTACCACCCACCAACAAAAGGTTCTTATTCCTTTTTCATATAGCG